GGTACGAAAAAGAAGATTTAGCTGTTGAGCCGCAGCCCTGAAAATTCCCCTGACTTTCCAGGTTGTTTCATAATTCCCTGACTCTTCCAGGATTTCCCTGATCCTTGCAATGGCGTTTTTCCTTGGAAAGGCAGCATAGTTTCCATCCCTAAACTACAAATTCTTCACATCGCTACGTTAGGATAACGGTGCTACATGCAGCGTGCCAATCGTAGCGGCGCGCAGCGCCCAATCACTTGGAAACGAGATCGCTACTAGTTCGCCTTCAAATTTAGCGATGCAACCCAACACCACACCGAAGTTAATTAAGTCGCATCCACCGATTGGCTGCGCTCTGATGTTCTACCTATCCTGAGAACCTATTCCTTATTACATTCGAGGAATTATCAATTAGTTGACTGACACACATTGCCATGCTAAGGAGAAACGTCGTATGAACATTCGAATGTTGCCAGATGTCTCTCGAAAAATTACGTATTTTCAAGAAAAGTTATATACACTCTCCTATCAGAGTTTCGGATGATTAATATAGATCCGATTGCGAAAAAAACGTATAGACTAATATTTAGATCGACATTATATCAATATTAGAATCGATTATTTGACGTGCATTAAATGAAGAAAAAACAGTGTTGCCAACTTGCAACTGAGTAGAGCGTCTGTGCTCAAATGAGGGCTGCCTGATCATCATCTGCACGGCGGGTATGATTTTTCAGATGAAAAAAACCGATAGCAAGGCGTTAGGTATTCTTTTAGGAGCTATTTGCAGAGGCAACCTGATGAATAAAAGATATCTTCATATACATTTCTCATCTCTGAATACGAAATTAGAGGGAGAAATTTACACTTCGTCGTCACGGGGTGAAGGAGGAGAAATGGAAGGGCGAAGGGGAGGGGGCATAACACCCGTGGCTGGAGGGCACGCATACGATTCGCCGCGATGCCGCACAGTGGATCGAGTCAATACGAGACGTCGGACAAAATTCGGAAACTTTAAAAACTTATAACTCCGTTCATACAAAACTTAGAGGATCTAAAAGTGAATCCGATGGTTTTCTCGTGAAATATTCTGTTTAGAGCACCCCTTAAAATTGAAAATGTGACGAAATAATCATCAAATTGTGTAGTTTTAGGCAAAAATTTCATGTGTGACTTCTCTAATTGACACGATCCACTGAGCGACGCGAGACGAGAATCACGCCTTACGTTAAGGAGTAGCGCTGTATGCGCAATCGTGTGTTGTCAAATTTCTTCCTCAGAAATATTAATTTTTGAGACAATTGTTATGCGCATTTTTCCTTGAAAATATCTGATTCGTAGATAAAATTGAGAACGAAACTTATTGAAAAATAGGAAGAATAATCTTGACAGGTTTCAAAGAAAATTTGTGTTTCATATAACGAAATTTCGCAACGTCCGATGGCTCATTGGACGTTCTTTTTTAGTGTAGCAGCACAGTATTACGGCACACAGCGGAGCGAGTCAATATAGGAGAGGTCGGACAAAATTTGGAAACTTTAAGCGCGTATACTCCGTTTATACGAACATTTTGGTCAAACCTTATATGCCCGACCTCTCAAATTGACTCGATCCACTGCACTGCTTTTCTCAATGTCATGGCTCATACGAATTGCAAGCTATTAATCGTCGCCGTTTTGACTTTCAAGTAAACCTAAATTTAAGTTTCGTAAACCTATCGGACAAGGCCTTCCATTTATGAGAAATGAACGAAAAAATTATAAAAGAACAAACATAAATGTGGTTTAATGATTTTAACTTCCGCCGCGCAGACCGCACCGTGTTAGGCGCAATGCGTGAAGTATTCCGACAGTCTTGTAGGTAGGTACTACGATTTTCACGCCGACCGCTGCTGAACGTACTGTGTTTGACGCAATGCGTGAAGTATTCATGCATTCTTGCAGGCACTATCCGTTTCACGCTGACCGCAGTGACCGCAATGTGTTTGATGCAATGCGTGAAGTATTCGTGCAGTCTTGTAGGCGCTAATATCTGTTAATTACTTGCCGATCGATCGCCGCGCCGAGATCTCATTTTCATCTCAAGTCCTCGTCATCATTTCTCTCCAAGTCGAGCCGTCCCAGGCCAAACTGCGTGTTTCGTTTCTCTCTTAACTCGACTAATTAAAGGTGCTGTCACTTGTGTCACTGAAAGACAACAAAATTAGAAATTACTATACTCTCAGGAGAGATTTTGTCGCCTTTCTTCGTTTGTAATTTTTTTTTTCCTATATCCGATTTTTTTTATATACCTACATTTAAAAAATTGCAAAATTTGCCGCCCCCTAGATTTGCCGCCATGGGCCGCGGCCCATGTGGCCACCCCCTTAATCCGGCCCTGGTTGTAGGAAACTGGTACCTTGGTTTTAACCCAGTTGTCTCTCTACAGTCCGTGTGAAGACAGAGGCTTGTGTACCTATGATGCAACTATTCAAGGCAAAGTTCAAATAACTTTTTACTTTTCGTGTAAACCCTCTGTACCTCGTTCAAAATTAGAAGAAGGAGAAGAAGTTTGTCAATTATTTATTCAAAATTGTGTACTGAACAATGTCCTTGATTCGTTTTTGCCATATTTTAATATTTTCCATCCAAAAATTCTAGTGGAAAACTCAAAAACGTCGAAAAAATCATTACCGTAGCCTGTAATAATCTGTAGGTCATTAATTTTATGTTAGGTTTTCAAAAGATTCAAGCCCAAAAAAAATAAAACCTTGGCAAATATTACAGCCAAGATGTATTTCAAAGAGTATTTTTTGGTGTTTATGTCAAAGTTTAGCATAGCAATAAAATTACGCCACCCGGAAGCAATGTAACAAAATTTTCGCATCATTACCGTAGACCCTGTTAGCGGCACTTTTCCGCCGCTAGAACGCAGTCTGTGATCACTTATTCATTCGGAGTGTTTTGTTTACCGTCTAGTGCACGATGGCCGGGTTGTCCGGATTTTGAACTTCATTAAAAGATAATTTCTCTTGTTTTTATCTGCTGAATTAAATTTTGGCAATTTGAAATTCTCATTACCGTATACCTACTTTTTTCTGTCAAGGAATGAATGAAATATTAAAGTAGTGCATGATTTATATTGCATACTAAGACCTAACCTCAATTTGAAAATTACAGCGGAATCCACCAATGCAACTAGATTATACACCGACTTTCATCATAAATTATCATTACCGTAGCCATCATTACCGTAGCCTCTTTCCAAAAGGAGTGGGGTCTACGGTAAATGAAAAAATATTTTTAGTGCATATTATTCGTGACTACTACTAAATCATGCCTTTAGAGGGTATAAAGACCTTAAAAAAAAATATAGGAATGCAATTTGAGGACTTTCACTTTTAAAATCTCGGCTACCCCAAAAGTAAAAAGTTATTTGAACTTTGCCTCAAGTGTTCCAGAAGAGGATCGCATAGTCAAATAAATGAAGGCGCCTTGACGACCACATATTATTCCGTCTTTAATATAACTCCATTGAAATAGTCATACCTGCATACCTGCATCGCCATGAGCTGACCGACGTACATCGTTTGGACCGCGTCTAGCAGAAATGAATCAAGCCAACATCAGCTGTTGCCTTTAACTGGGAAGTTTAATTTTTTACAATAGAAGGTATGCACGGAGTCCTTTGAAAATTTTTAAAACTTCCCTGCAAACAACGGAAATTTCGTAGGATATTCTGAGAATATTCCTTGGAAAATTGGAAATTTCTCTGAAGATTCCGGGGAATGTTCTGGGAATATTATTTATTTACCCACTTTTGGGAATATTCGCTAGAATGTTCTGAGAACATTCCAAGGACTTATGTGTTGAATATTTTGGGAAAATTCTGCGAGAATATTCTCGGAACGCTCCTATAATACACGTAGGAATATTCTTCGATTATTCTTGGGAATTTTCCGAAAATATTCCCAATTTATTTGATGAGCAGCGTGCCTTTGTATCTCACTGGAAAAAAAAAAAAAACATTGGATCTAGAGTCCAGACTCTTAATAACATCGACAAGAAACTGGACTCCTGATTCAATCAGATTTAAGCTTAAATCAAAAGGAAATCCGCTCAAATTAAGAGGCTTGGTTCTTGATTTAAGCTTACATCTGATTGAATCAAGAGTCCATTTTCTTGTCAATGTTTTCAAGAGTCTGGGCTCTAGATCCAATGTGTTTTTTTTCCCAGTGCTCCCATCCTGATCTTGTGTCGAGTTCCTGGATTAGCAAAAGGCATTTTATCGGGAAAACAACACTTGGAAATCTGGAAAGAGGATACGTAGGTACGCATTCATTTAGACAAGGAACCGTAACGCATCAAGTAATAAAGATCAAAAAATATATTGAACGAAATTGTAAGTTAAGTACACTTGTTCAAGTGACAAAATAAAAAAATGAACAAATAAACACGAAAGAAGAGGTGAAATAGAACAATCAAAAACATAAATAAAACAGCCTTTAAGTCACATATTGAGAAACACTACTTATAAATGTATATTATAAGTTCAAAAAATATTTTAAACGAAATTAAAGTCAAGTACACTTGTTCAAGTGACAATACAAGAAAAATGAGCACATAAACACGAAAGAAGAGGTGAAATAGAACAGTCAAAAACACAAATAAAACAACCTTTAAGTCATAGTATATTGAGAAACACCGTCCAAAAATTGTAGAGAAAATACATTTTGAACCAAAGCAATGGTACAGATTAAAGAGGCACCTTAGTGAAGACTAGAAAAGAAAATCTCCTAAAAGTACTCATATGAAGTAAGAAACATGACTATCTCTCGTTACTGAAAAAAACATAATTAATATGCAACTATCCCCTTTTAGTACTTTCGGTAAATTCCAATAAGAGCGCTCACTTTGGACTTTCATTTATATCCTCAGTAATGTAAAAGCATTTTTGGCATACAGCTTTAACACCTGAGCTATAGAACAATGCAGAATTTTATTCAAGGCATTTGTGGCAGAGAAAGACAATATGGATCATTGGCAAAATAGGAAGCTATCAAAGATTGATAAGAACACAAGTCAAATTCGATAAGATATAATACTTTAACCACAACGATCAGAAATTAGGCATCATTGGCAGAGCTGAACTGGTAAATGAGATTAACATCTGTAGACGTAAAAGATCAATCCCGGCCGTGATGGCCAGACTCACTTGAGAACCTGTATTTTGCAGAAAATAAGGAACCGTGATGCATATATATAAATACCTTAAATGCAAAATCAGCATAGAATTTAAATAGGCAGTCATCAGAATACGGCACTGAGATAAATTTTAACACTAAGATTGTGATTTCTCTGTGGCTAAAAACATTCAGTTAAGCGGTCAGAGATCTTTCAGAGGGATGAGGGGTAGCCATTGTTCAATTTCTTACAATGCATGACTTGTGGGTCTCTCTCTGCAGTGTATTAAAGAGTGTCAAGTGAAAAGATGGGTCATCACAGCGGAGACAATCTGTCACCATTAGCATAATTAGATCTTGATTTAATGAGCTCAATTCTGCTGATACTGTCTACCGCATGCTGTTCTTTTTCTAGCTTTGCAACTGATGAAATGAGGAAACTTTAAACACACCAGTATTCCAGCCACCTGATAAAAAACGCTTTCTCTCTTTCAGAAATGGACTTTCTCTGACACAGTGTGAATAAAAATTATCTTTTCTCATAATATCACCATGTATCACATCATAATAATCAATTATCACAAAAAATAATAATACTAATGAACTCATCATTATCAATTATCACGAAAAATAATAATACTAATGAACAGGAGAACTAAAATATTGTACGGCATTTCATAGCATCAATGAGTAATAAATGAATTGCATTTAGCAAAAAGGAACCAGCGCAATTACTGTGTTGAAAAATGTTGTTTCTTAATAATTATCTACGGAATCTCCCAAAATACCTAGCACATGAATTCTGTTCCCCACCAAAAAATGTCTAATTTAGAAATTGAATTCTTGGATTTTGAAAAAATTTGAAAATAATAGAAAAAATTTGAAACTGTACATATATTAAATATTTTTAAAAGAAAAGAAGAAGCTGGAGTTGGGTTTTATTTTTTTTAACAAGAGGTTAATTTTTACCTCTCAGTAAAGAAAATAAGAAAGAATACAAATAGCGACAATCATGAATCATGAGTTATGTAAGCACATTACCAAAATGTAGACGTATAAAAGAAATATCAAATTTACTTCTTCTGAAGTTCATGTTCTATCCCGAAATGGAACTGAATTATACTGCGTAATTCAAAAGTTGCAGATTGAAAGTTGACAATATAGTTTTCTTTGATGTTTGCATTGCGCTAAAATACGTATACTATTATCATAGTTTCGAAGAAAATTCCTCAACAGAAACTTGTCAATTTTTTTCTCACAACTATTGAAATGGTACATGCTTGATTGCTTCTTCTCCTCAGATTAAGTGAGAGTTCTCAATCGGAATATGAAAGTGGTTGTGAAGACTACTGCATCTCATTCTTCCATTTTAGAAAAAATATGTAAAAGAGCTTTTCCGTCTACGGAGTCAGTAATGGATCTTGTGAAAGAGTTAAACTTCCAGTTGCCCATGATTCATGAAAAAGAATTCAAGGATTTAAACAAGAAGATATCGCAACAGCTTGATGGAAAGCCTTATGAAGCCTTCGACCAAGAGTTCCGGGATAATCTGGTCAGTTTCTTATTCCTATGCACTATTTTAAATTCGCACATCTTTCAAGACTGCATAGCACTATTCAGAACTTCTTCACTACTGCATCTCATTCTTCCATTTTAGAAAAAATATGGAAAAGAGCTTTTCCGTCTACGGAGTCAGTAATGGATCTTGTGAAAGAGTTAAACTTCCAGTTGCCCATGATTCATGAAAAAGAATTCAAGGATTTAAACAAGAAGATATCGCAACAGCTTGATGGAAAGCCTTATGAAGCCTTCGACCAAGAGTTCCGGGATAATCTGGTCAGTTTCTTATTCCTATGCACTATTTTAAATTCGCACATCTTTCAAGACTGCATAGCACTATTCAGAACTTCTTCACTACTGCATCTCATTCTTCCATTTTAGAAAAAATATGGAAAAGAGCTTTTCCGTCTACGGAGTCAGTAATGGATCTTGTGAAAGAGTTTAACTTCCAGTTGCCCATGATTCATGAAAAAGAATTCAAGGATTTAAACAAGAAGATATCGCAACAGCTTGATGGAAAGCCTAATGAAGCCTTCGACCAAGAGTTCCGGGATAATCTGGTCAGTTTCTTATTCCTATGCACTATTTTAAATTCGCACATCTTTCAAGACTGCATAGCACTATTCAGAACTTCTTCACTACTGCATCTCATTCTTCCATTTTAGAAAAAATATGGAAAAGAGCTTTTCCGTCTACGGAGTCAGTAATGGATCTTGTGAAAGAGTTTAACTTCCAGTTGCCCATGATTCATGAAAAAGAATTCAAGGATTTAAACAAGAAGATATCGCAACAGCTTGATGGAAAGCCTTATGAAGCCTTCGACCAAGAGTTCCGGGATAATCTGGTCAGTTTCTTATTCCTATGCACTATTTTAAATTCGCACATCTTTCAAGACTGCATAGCACTATTCAGAACTGCATCATCTTCAAGATGGCAAATCCTGTTGTAACTGGATCCCACCGGCTCAAAAATAGAGCCAACCTTCTCAAAGCCTTTCTTTGATTTATTGATAGCAGTACCTATAACTGATAACCGTGAGGAAATACTTGGCATGTCAAAAAGCTATTTTAACTCATCGGAGGAAGTTATTGCTAGTTTTTTTTGTTCGAAGATTGTCGAAAGTTATTTCAATCGGAAAAAAATTGAACAAGCATCAGTTTCGAAACCAAAGGATTTTCTGTCTTTAAGAGTTTATTCCTGAACTTGGCAACACAACTGCACTGGTTCCTTTTTGCTATATACAATCCAAATAAGGCAGCAGGTGCAAACAGTAGTTTGATTAGCCTTCGTTCACTTCCATTTGGTTTTCTTCTTCCACATCTTCTTCATCTTCCATATCTTCCACATCAATTTCGTTCTGCTTTTGTAGCTTTTCATTCTTCAGTCTAAGTCTCTCATTAGCGTGGCCTAACCACCAGGCAACTTTCTCCTCACACTGAGGCTTGTCGTGCTTAGGATGCAAGGCCAGAAGAGCATCTGAAAGGCAAGGGCAATAACTGAGCTGTAAAATGTATTCAGTGCTCTATATGCACTCAAATTAACTACTACTAAGATAAATAAACATAGAATGGATGAAAGAGTTCATACATTTTAAAATTAAGGTGATTCGTCAAGCTCAAGTGACGTGGTCGAACTGGCATGCGATATATCACATCGATTACGTCAAAAATCTCGGTCGATTTTGAATTTTTAGCGAAAAAAAGGACAATAGCCCCTGCGCATGAGCCTAAAGAATCATTCTTAACCCAAAAATTAACAAAATTCCGAGAAATGAAAGCAGAATAGTGTTTGGAAAAAGAACTCGCATTTGATGCAGAAATCGATGGCTGAATCGAATGCAAGTTTTTTTTCCAAACAATAGTCTGCTTTCATTTCTCTGAATTTTGTTGATTTTTGGGTTTAGAATGATTCTTTGGGCTCATGCGCAGGGGCTTTTGTCCTTTTTTTTGCTAATAATTCAAAATCTGCCGAGATTTTTGACCTAATCGATGCGATATATCGCACTCCACTTCGACCACGTCGTTTGTGCTTGACGAATCACCTTAAGGCATCATGAGCTAGGGCAGGAGAACATACATGCCCCATTCATTTGTAAGTTTTGTGACCTTGCAGAACAGTAAGAGGGGGGAGGGGGGGGGGCAAATTTTGTCTGTTCATGTGGTGAAATTAATTAGAAAGTTTCAAGGGATTGGAAAATGCTAAGTTAGGAAAGGAAAATGGCAAGAATTTGAAGGGGATAAAATATCTTTCTAATAGGTGGAATGGAATAAAACTTACCAGTGATAATGGCGCTGATCTCGTACGTTTGGAAACTACGCTTCCCTTTGCGTCCTTTGAATGAATAATGCCGGGCCAATTCATCTGCAAACAGGAAGCCGCAAATACCTTTCACCGAGTCAACAAGAAGCTTTCCATTTTTCTTGCGCAGAACTGTTACCTAAAATGAAAGAAAAGAATAATACTTGTTCAGTTGTCGTAGTAATGAGCGAGCAATTTTTCAGTTCATGCATGATTTCACTGTGACGTCAAAAGTTAAGAGAAATCAGTTGTGTTGCCAAGTTCAGGAATAAACTCTTGAGGACAGAAAATCCTTTGGTTTCGAAACTGATGCTTGTTCAATTTTTTTCCAATTGAAATAACTTTGAACCAAAAAAACTAGCAATAACTTCCTCCGATGAGTTAAAATAGCTTTTTGACATGCCAAGTATTTCCTCACAGTTATCAGTTATAGGTACTGCTATCAATAAATCAAAAAAAGGCTTTGAGAAGGTTGGCTCTATTTTTGAGCAGGTGGGATCCAGTTACAACAGGATTTGCCATCTTGAAGATGATGCAGTTCTGAATAGTGCTATGCAGTCTTGAAAGATGTGCGAATTTAAAATAGTGCATAGGAATAAGAAACTGACCAGATTATCCCGGAACTCTTGGTCGAAGGCTTCATTAGGCTTTCCATCGAGCTGTGGTGATATCTTCTTGTTTAAATCCTTGAATTCTTGTTCATGAATCATGGGCAGCTGGAAGTTTAACTCTTTCACAAGATCCATTACTGACTCCGTCGACGGGAAAGCTCTTTTCAATATTTTTTCGAGAATAGAAGAATGTGATGCAGTGGTCTTCACAACCACTTTCATGTTCCGATTTAGAACTCTCACTGAATCTGAGGAGAAGAAGCAATCAAGCATGTACCATTTAAATAGTTGTGAGAAAAAAATTGACAAGTTTCTGTTGAGGAATTTTCTTCGAAACTATGATAATAGTATACGTATTTTAGCGCAATGCAAACATCAAAGAAAACTATATTGTCAACTTTCAGTCTGCAACTTTTGAATTACGCAGTATAATTCAGCTCCGTTTCGGGATAGAACATGAACTTCAGAAGAAGTAAATTTGATATTTCTTTTATACGTCTACATTTTGGTAATGTGCTTACATGATTCATGATTGTCGCTGTTTGTATTCTTTCTTATTTTCTTTACTGAGAGGTAAAAATTAACCTCCTGTTAAAAAAAAAAAACCCAACTCCAGCAACTAACTTATCAAGGTTAATAGTTGCATAATATTTGCCTTGTGACGAATAGTAACATGTGTTTGTTCAAACAAAACAAACATTTAATTTTATGACCGAGTGTTGGCAATACACACTATCGATGGTGAAATTTACGAACTAGAGGTGTGGTCAGATAAGTTGACATTTGTTTCCTTTCGATTTGCAGGCGTTTCCTCGTCACTATGAAAACATGCGACTCTCACAGAAGCGAGAACAAAAAGCTTGGATAGGTTTCTTAATACTTTCAATCAAACCTCGTAGCACTTCAATTTTTACCCACACAGAAATCTTAACCAGATAAAAGTC